CTTTCCAGAGGTTTATCGACGGTGTAACTCGAGATTTAGATTTTGTTCACGTTTACATTGACGATTTGCTTATTTCCTCTTCTAATGTAAATGAACATTATCACAATTTGACCTTGCTAGTTCAACGATCATCTGATAATAGCATTGTGGTTACCCCCGATAAATGTGAGCTTGGTAAAAATGAACTGATTTTCCTTGGCCACAAGGTCACACATGAAGGTATTTTATCATGCGAGGATAAAGTACGTGTTATCAGAGAGTACACTTTAACATCTTCAATCAAAGACCTGAAGGCATTTTTGGATTATTGAATTTCTATAGACGATTCATCCCACGCGCCGTTCAACGATTGCAACCTCTTACGGACCTACTTCGTGGTAATCCACGTAAGCTCTTGCTTGCGGACGCCGCACGATTAGCATTCGAAGAGGTAAAGAAATATTTAGCGCAGACCACGCTACTTTTGCATCCTGTACCGTCAGCCACGCTTAGTATAGCGGTTGACGCTTCAGACTTTGCACTTGGAGCGGTCTTGCCACAGCAGGGTTCTGAGCTTTGGCAACCTCTCGAGTTTTACTCTCGACGCCTTACACCCACACAAACCAATTATAGTGCTTTTGGACGCAAGCTGCTGGCAGCATTTTAGACATGCAGTCGAAGGTCAAGATTTTACCCTATATACAGACCATAAGCCTCTTACATATGCTTTGCATGCTAAATCTGACCGTTACTCACCCCGAGAAACCAGACACTTAGACTATGACAGTTTTGTAAACAACGGTGTTGGTTGTTTTTTAGACTATATTTCACAGCTCACAACTGACATTCATCATGTCCAGTGCAAGTCGAATGGTGTTGCGGACGCCTTAGCACGCATTCACGTTAATGCGATAACGTCTCCCTTAGAAATCAGTGCTATGGCTGGAGCTCAGGCAAATTCTTCATCTTGCGAAGAAGCGGTCCATTCAACTTCATTAAGATGTCAGGCGATACCGTTAACAACTTTTAATGGTACTGTCTTACGTGACATGTCTACAGGTCTACCTCAACCAGTAGTACCCTTATCCTATCGTCGTTTAGTTTTCGACACTTTACATGCTTTATCACACCCAGGTATCGCAGCAACACTTCGTTTGATTTCCGCACAATACGTCTGGCCACCCATGAATAAGGACGTTCGAATATGGGCTAAACAGTGTTTACAATGTCAACGATTTAAAGTGCACAGTCACGTAGCTGCACCTATCGGTACGTTTGCTACGCCTGATGCTCGCTTTCATCACGTTCACATCAATATTGTAGGCCCATTACCACCGTCACACGGGTATACTCATTTACTCACCTGTATTGACAGGTTTGCTAGATGGCCGGATGCTATTCCCATCTCTACTGTCACGGCCGAAGCAGTGGCTCGGCATTTTGTAGAACGATGGATAAAACTCTACAGTTGTGCCTCTACTGTCACA